CACTACCTACACTTGGGAGTTCATCGACCAGCTTGTGACCTCAACTCCAAGCTCTAACAATGTGCAGGGATGTATTATGTGAGGGATTGCCCAGAACACATACCTTGTTGTTGCACGGGATGGCAATGTCCACGTAGCGCAGAGGAGAGTCTGTGTTACACAGGGCAATGGTGGGCAGGTTGACATAAGACGCCTCTGTGAGGGGCTGGTGGTCAGCCCTGGGGTCAGTGACAACCAGAAGCCGTGGCTCCCGGAAGGCTGCTTGGATCTGGTTGGTGAAGGTCCCCGGAGTAAAGCGACCAGCAATCGGAGTGGCCCCCGTGGCAGCAGCAAACTTCAGCACAGCTCGCTTTGAAGGGAGACTGAGTCAGCTTTGTCAAGCATGGTTGATACCCACCGCACGTCCACTCACAAGGTGTCACCTTCCAAACACAGAAGTCTCTCAGACTAAACTCAACACTTGCATGCCATCTCTCATCAATGAAGCATCTCACCCCAAGTCCCTCAGGACAGGGAAGCAGCAACACCCCTAGGGTTCTGCACATTTATCAGCACAGAATACCTTCCCCCCTCCTCTAGAAAATATTTCCTGTCTTACATTTAATGCAAGAGTGGTTTTTGTGCCCTGTCTATCAGTACACATCATTCATACACACAGAGGTCTGAGGTGTTGGAACCATTTGAACTGTACTTTTGGTTGCAAGCCTAGCCTTTAACAGCTTAGCTATCCCTCCAGCTCTTTAACAGGAATGATTGATGACTGAGTTCTAACTATTGAACCCAGGACCTCTGTAAGAGTTGTTCTCTTAATCACTGAGTATATCTCAGTCCCCCTTTTGGAGGTTTACAGGGTCTCAACTGCCTGACCCCTCACCCTAGAGGGTTCTTGACTCCCTCCTGAGTTGGTCCTGTCAGCTATATATCTAAGCCATATTCTATCCTGTCCCACAACACAGTCTATCCAGGTCTACCTGCAGAGACACTTAAAAGTCCCTTACTACAACATTTTAAGTTTTGCTGGAAGTTAGCTTAGGGTGAATGGAATCTTCACTGACATACAGCACTGCCAGCCATTGTGGGAGGTAGGACTGTTTCCTGCATGGTTTGTCTTCCCAGTAACGGCCCACAGGACTCTGGGAAGTTGTAGGAATATGCAGGGGCAGACTCGAAAGCCCAGCTTCATCTCCAACGTTGTGGAAAGGGACTGTACATCACAGGCAAGGCCTCCGCTCCCCTAGGCCACTAGGACAGAGCCCAGGGAGAGTGACCTCCTGGGGTGTCCACGTTGGATGCCTCTTGTGGCTCACTGCCATAACACCAGTGTCAGCCTCCACTCCACAAACCTGTCCAGTGTTCCTGGAGGAGATGACGCTGACATCAGCGGGGTTCTCAATGGCAACGATGGCTCGGGCTGCCAGCAGCAGCTTCTCCCAGGTTCTCTTCAGATTGATGATGTAGATGCCTGGGTGAGGACAGTGGATTGGGGCAGGGTTGCCAAGGTAGTTTCTGGTTACCCAGGCACTGTTACCACACTGGCCTCCAACTCTGAGATCTGCCTAATGCCTCACAAATGCACCCTGAAACAAATAATTTCTAGATGGGGTGAGGGATCGTTCCAGTGCCCCAGATGGGTTTGCTAACAGCCTGAGTGAACAGACACTGTAGGAAGGCGGGCTGCATGTATGTGGCAGTGACCACTATCAAACTCCAGTCACAGAGGCAAGCTCTACTGGTATCAGCGAGAATCCTGCCATGTGTTCAGTGTAGCACACTTCCGACACTCAGAAGTTCACTGGCCAAGGGTGGCCTCCACCCTGAGCTTTAATAGTGTGCAGGTTCAGTTACTTGTCTTTCTCTGCCCTCTGTATCACAGCATAAACATCAAATTCATCCCAGCAATGCTCCATTCCCTCTCCAGTAACTACTGAATGCACAACCTCCTACTCTTCTCAACCCATCCTGCCAAGCTTTCCCGGCCAGTTTATCCCCACATCTCAGTCTACTTCTCACCAAACCTGCGTGACCGACCCCTACGACTGTGCCTGTGATACAGGACGAGCTCTAGAAAATGAGATATCCTATTGCCCTACCACTTACACGCTCCCAACGTCCCAACATTCACAGCAGTTACCGCCCACGACAGTGCAGGCCCGAATGAGGTTTTATCAGAAGGGGTAACTGACCGTCACTCTTCCGTTTGTAGATGTACTGCTCCATCTGAAAGTCAAGGTTGGTGCCACCTAAGTGGGTTCCTGCAGCAAGGAACTTGAGGACATCCTCCTCCTTCATCTGCAGGACATCAAGGGCTCCGGACATTGTGTAAGTTTCCCTTTAAGTTACGACGGGAATCTGAAAAAAAAAAAAAAAAGCAAAGTTTCCTCTAGTGTTTAATCTCCCTCTCTGAGACTAGGCTCCAGCGCAGCCGGGCTGTTCTGGGGACCTGGCTGTCCTGTCACTCACGAATGTCCCTCCCCCGCCCCACCGCGAGCGGGGATTAAAGGCGCGTGCCTCCAGGTGTCCCTGTCCCCGCCGCCTCCCGCCACCCATCACAGCGGCAGAGCGCACGGATGTCTGAGCTCGGACGCACTGCAGGGCGTGGTGCACGCGCGGCCGTGGTTGCAGGCTGTGGCCGGCAGGTCCGGGCCCTCCCCGCCGCCGGGGCCTCCAGCCTGGCCCGGGCCCGCCACGTGCTGGCGCCGCCGCCGCCGCCGCCGCCGGCACCGAAGCGGCCCCCGCAGGCCCCGCAGCCGCCGCCTCGGATCGCACGCGCCCGTCCACGGGGCAGGGGGGCCGGGCCCGCGAGGCCGGGCGGCACCGCGGCCGCCACGGGAGACTCACCGAGAACAACGCCGTATGGACCCGTCCCAGGGCAGCGCGGAAAGGGCCGCGGCCCGGAAGTGACGTCCTTAAATAGCCCACAGCCGGCCAATAGCAAAGCAGGTTCGGCGAGAAGAGGGCGGAGCGTTCCTGCCCGCCGCGCGTGCGCACCCGGGACAAAGCGGGCCCGGCGCGGAAGTTGGGGTGTCCGGCGCCTGACCCCGCCGCCGTCGCCGCGTAGAGCGCGGGCGGAAGTAGCTGCGCACACCGAGGCCTGTGACTCCGCTGCTGGGCTGCCAGGCGCGCTAGCCCGCTGGGCAGTTTGTGCGGATCAGGCGTGTGCAGCAACTGGAGCGTGCAGGGCTGTCACGTGGCGTCTGGAGGACGAATTCCCAGCGCGCAATTCAGACTGTCTGGGTTTTTTCTTCTTTTGGGGGGTGATGGGGTGGGGGGCTTGCTTTTTCGAGACCTGGTTTCTCTATCCCTAGCTGTCCTGGATCTCGCGCTGTAGATCAGGCTGAAAGTATAAAGGACAAGACTGTACGTATAAAGTTTTTGTCAGCTAATAAGTTTATTCTGTCCAACAAAATACTATACAGCCATCCAAGGATAAAATATGTCCTACAGTACAAAAGAATGAGTACCTGAGGACGACTACGAAAATAAAGTTGACATCCTGCGTGTGTGAGACGGCTGTAGAAATAACTAGATTGTCAGGGCGGTGTCACTGTCCTATTTCTTTGACCACGTGAAGAACAGGTTTTAAGCCTGGGCCATCTGTGTCACGTTATTAAACATCGGAGCACATACCCACCTAACCCTCTGCTTCTTGGAGAAAATATTGGCTCCTTCCTAAACTTGATAACACCAAAAAAAAAAAAAAAAAAAAAAAAAAAAAAAAAAAAGTGTGCCCAGTAGGATATTCCACCAAGTGCTGAAGGGTACGTGGAGAAATTTTGATGAAAGATCATCATTTATACAGTTTGCACTGCTTGGTGGTAGAGTGCTTGCCTTACCTCACAAGGCTCTCGGTTTGTTCAATTCCAGAAGTTCAGAGGAAAAACTGTTAATTCTAACCCTCTGAAGGCTGTGGCAAGAGGGACATGAGTTTGAGGATGTAGTAACATCATCCCCCAAAACAGGAAACTAAAAAGAAAGTATTGAACTTCTACTTCAAGAATGTACCTCAAAATATTTTCATAAGTAAAAGAATACAGAATACTCTAGAATCTATTAAATGGTGTGTTCAGAGGCAAAATTATAGAAATGACTGTGGGTTGGGAAGGAGGATTATGAGATCTTAGGAGGGGAATATTCTAAAACTAATTTAGGATCATGGCTGCATTTTTTGGACAGGGTTTCACAAGTGGAGGGTGACTGAGCTTTCTTGACAGCTGTGCACCACACTGGAATCAGTGTCCCCTTGGGTGTGCACCACACTGCATACAGTGTCCCCTTGTATCTGCTCTTTTGTTGGTGCTGGGGTTTGAGCCCAGGACCTTGTATTAGCACTCCACTCAGCCATACAGCCAGTTCCAAATCACTGGGCTGTGGACTTTAAACTGGTATGTTGTTTAGTATGTGAATTAAAGCTGCTTTTTTTCCTTTGCTTTTTGAGACAGGGTTTCTCTGTGTACCTATGGCTCTCCTGGAACTCACTCAGTAGATCAGGCTAGCCTCGAACTCCTAGGGATCTGCCTGCCTCTCCCTCTCAAGTGCTAGGATTAACGGTATACTCTTCCTCTCTGATAAGTTTTTGATGTCTTGTTCTGTTTTTTCAAACAGCTCTCAAAGTGCTTTACTTTATTCCTCTGGACTTTAATTAATAGCACAGATTAACACAGTACATGGGGGGGGGGGCAGTGATGACGCACACCTCTAATCCCAGCATCCAAGAGGCAGAGGTAGGCAGATCTGTAGTTTGAGGCCAGCCTGGTCTACAGAGCAAGGTCCAGGTCAGCCAGGGCTACACAGAGAAATCCTATCTCAAAAAAAACAAAGACAAAACAAAACAAAACAAAAAAAAATCAGACAACTCAACAGTACACTCAAAGACAAGGAAGTCATTGTGCGCATTCTCTGGGTCCTATAGGAGACTCCCTAGGAATAAACGTAATATCTATCTTGTTTTGTCGTTGCTGTTGCTCCTTAGGTTTTTGTTTTGTCACCTCAGACATTTCCCAGTCTGTTGATGTCTTTATTTAAAAAAGGAACTGTTTGTTTACATATTGGGTATGGGTGCAGCAGTGTGCACGGGGAGCCCAGAGGACAACTTGCAGGAGCTGGTTCTGTCCTCCATGGGTCCTGGGATCCACCATAGGCCATCTGACAGCGCCTTCACTTGCTGAGCCGTCTCACTGGTCCACGACAGCTCTCACAGGTCCAGTCTTGTCTGCCTTGAGCCTCCCGCCCTCAGACATGGCAGGAGCCCACAGCTTCTCTGCCGTGGAATCCCCGCTTACAGGCATAGCTAAGGGGCCTTGTGACGTAGGTAGGTGGCTGAGACAGACCAGTCCGGCACAGGTCTCTCTTGTAGCCTTGTGGGACAACCGAGTTCGACCCCAGGCTCCTGTGTGTCGGCTGCTGGAGTGTGTCTGGAGCTGTGGCATCGGTGACCTCGCTTCTGAGGCCCTGGGGGCTCCAGTCAGTCCTCCCCTCTCCCTAAATGGGGCCTAAAGGCAAGGGCACTTATGCCTGATTCTTCAGGCTTCCTTCGCCAGACTCCGGTGAGCTGCAGCGGCCCCTGGCGGGAACCAGGCAGACCTTCCTCCCTGGCGCTCACCGGTCAGGACTTCAGCCCCATCCTGGCCATCATTTCTTCATAGACAGTCCATGCCATGGCAGCCATCAGAGTTCTGCGGAGGGCCCGGGGAACACTGCCATGGAAGAAGCCACGCAGGCCGTGGTTCTGCCACGAAAACAAGTGTCAGCACTTCAGAAGCAAAGCAGGAATGCCACTAGTTACGCCCCACCACCACACAGCTAACCAGCTATGAGTTATAACCAGCGACCCTCTAATTTTCCTATAACTGTTAGGGTCCAGCTCTTTAGATCGCACTCCCTAGGGAAACTCCCGAGTTTAAAAAAAGAACATTTAGAGCCTGGAGTGGTGGCGCACGCCTTTAGTCCTGGTACTCTGGAGGCAGAGCAGAGGCAGGCGGATCTCTTGAGTTCGAGGCCAGCCAGGTCTACATAACAAGCTCCAGTACAGCCAGGGCTACAACATAGAGAGATGCTGTTTCCTAAATGAGGCCATCTAGGAGCTTGCTGTTCTCTAGAGTTTGTTTTACAGCACCCACATGGCAGCTCACAAGCGTCTTCAACTCTAGCACCAGGGGAATGCAGTGCCCTCTTCTGGCATCCACAGGCAGGTGCGTGCACACAGACACACAGACACACAGACACACAGACACACAGACACACAGACACACACACACACACACACACACACACACACCAGGAACATTAAAGGGATTGTTAAGAGAACACTAAAGGTTCTTCTGGGCTGCTGTGTGCAGTTTGGTCTGTAGCTCCGTTTTTCTTCTTCTGGTTTGTTCACTGACTTTGAGATGAGTCACTCACTACCACAGCCCAGACAACACTGGCTTCAAACTCATGGCCCTCTGTCCACAGATCTCAGAGCTAGGGTGACAGGTATGCACCGCCATGTTCAGCCAGCTCTACCATGTATACGCTGCCAAGAAATGCCGAGCAGCACACAAAATACAGAGGGGCTGCTCGCCAACCCTGGGATCTGGAGCCGGCTGCTGGAACTGGAGTTTCAATGGGAAGTTGGTGGACACAAAGTCCTCTGCAAGAGCAGCGTGCAGCCCTGACTGCTGCGCCATCTCTGCACTGGGGATGTACAATCCTAACGCTCCCTGTGTCTCTGGCACACTGGGAGGGAATGCGCAGCCCAGCCGCTCTAGGGACATCCCGACCACAAGAGCAGCATGCACTCTGCAGCCTCACCTTGAAGATGAGGGTGGCCGCTTGGCCAATCCACTGAGACGTCCCTGGGGAGAGCTGCATATGGGTCTTGATCACATCTGCAGGTTGAGTCACCAGTGAAGCCAGAACGCCAGCAAATATCCCACAGCTGAAATTAACCAGGGGCATCAGGGCAGCGCCTACCTGGTCTGAAACAGAACAAGGGCCACAAAGGTTACAAAGTCACACGCTTCACATGCACGGTGGAGAGGCAGGGTTAACTGCCTGCTCGCAGACCTGACCAGGGTCCTGAGATGGGTCTGGATGATGGTGTCAAGGCGGAAACTCACTATTCGGTACAATGATTTTAAACAATGTTAATTACATCTGACAGTTAATTATGACTATCTGGCAGCTCTGCAGCCTCTCGCTGGACAGTACAGTGGGAACAGCCTCTGACTGCACAGTGCAGGTGGGAACAGCCTCTGACTGCACAGTGCAGGTGGGAACAGCCTCTGACTGCACAGTGCAGGTGGGAACAGCCTCTGACTGGACAGTGCAGGTGGGAACAGCCTCTGACTGCACAGTGCAGGTGGGAACAGCCTCTCGCTGGACAGTGCAGGTGGGAACAGCCTCTGACTGCACAGTGCAGGTGGGAACAGCCTCTCGCTGGACAGTGCAGGTGTGGACACTCCCACCTTGTTACTGACTCTAGGTAGGAAAACTTGAATTTTTATTCGAGGACACTGTTGGTTTTAAAGATTCAATATTCGCCAGGTGGTGGTAGCACACGCCTTTAATCCCAGCACTTAGGAGGCAAAGGCAGGCAGATCTCTGGGAGTTTGAAACCAGCCTGGTCTACAAGAGCTACTTTCAAGACAGCCAGAACTATTATACAGAAAAACCCTGTCTCAAAAAAAAGACTGAATTTACATTTTCAATATTAAGAAAATCCTCAATTCCAATTTTACAGGATTAATGGCTCTAAATATTTTTTAATTAATGTGTATTAACTGAACATGATAAGTCAAGCTTGGTGATTCTATCTTAATCCTAGTGCTCTGGAGGTGGAGGCAGGCTGATCTCTAGGCCAGTCTGGCTTACATTAGTGAGAGTTCTAGGCCAGCCAGGGCTACCTAATAAGGCCTAGTGTCAAAATAAATACAAAACAAAATACAAAAACAAAGATTGCGTCAAAATAAATACAAAACAAAATACAAAAACAAAGATTGTTTCCTTATTGTCTTAAACTTTTGTTGAAAAGCAAGGCTGTGGCCTGCAGGGCCACCCTGCTCCCTCGGGGGGAGGGGAGGAGCCAGTCTCCCCCAACACTGCAGACTGACTTCAGGCTCATTCAGCAGAATGGCTTCCAAGCAACTCTGCTCAGTCAGCACTTACAACCCACAGACATGGTTCATGGCAGCCCACAAGCTTACTGGGGAGAGGGAGGGTCTCCCACAAGCACCTCAAGTTTGCCGTTCCAGCCCCACCCATATGCAGAGCTCAGGACAACAGTCGCAGGGACACAGCAAGGGAAGTGAAATTCCCTACCAGTCAGTGCTCCCAAACTGGACTGATGGGAATCACACAAGTGCTCACTGACAAAGACTGGCAGGCTGTACCTCAAAGCTTCTGTCCTGGGGTCCCCTGGATCATGTCCCTGACATGCGATTGTAGAACCTTGGCAAAAACACACTTTGCTTCTCGCCCAGCCTACCCTCTTCCCTTTGGAAGACACAAAATCTATAGGGCATCCCAGCGCCCAGGCCCAAATTGGCTCCCATGGTAGTTTGAATGTAATCCCCCATAAACTCATAGGGAGGGGCACTATTAGGAGGTGTGGCCTTGGTGGAGGAAGTGTCACTGTGGAGTGGGCTTTGAGGTCTCATATGCTCAAGCCATGCCCAGGGTCTCGGACCACTTCCTGTTGCCTGCAGGTCAAGATGTATTTACTCTCAGTCCCTTCTACACCGTATCTGTCTGCACGCCATCATGATGCACCATGACGGCAATGGACTGAACCTCTGAACTGTGAGCCACCAATTAAATGTTTCCTTTATAGGAGATGCTTTGGTCATGGTGTCCCGTCACAGCAATAGCCACCCTAAGACAGCGCCATTGCTAAAACTGCTACGGCCATCCCGGAGAAAAGGCCAAAATGCAGCCAGCCTCTGAGACTCCTCTCGCCACCGCCCCCGCTCTCACCCCCCACCCTCCCCCCACCCCGCTCCCGCCCACGACTCCCCTCTGGCCCACCCCCACCCCCGCTCTCGCCTATCACCCTCCCCCCCCTCTCGTCCACCCCCCACCCCCGCCCCGCTCTCATCCACGACCCCCCTCTGGCCCACCACTCCGGCTCTCACCTGAGCCTGAGCCTCGGAGCACCATGGCTCTGGTTTGGCTGTAGAACATCAGATAGAGCCCTGAAAAGGGCGCATCACGGAGGAGAGTTGCTGTGAGGCCTCTGAAGAGGCCTCGGTGGCCCTCGCTGCAATAGATGCTCCTCAGGGCTGCATAGATGCTCTCATAGCTGTAAGTCCCACTCTATAAAGGGAGAGCAGATCCGGTGACTGCCGCATGCATGCCAGCCTCTGACAGTTCAGGTCAGGTACGGTCACCAAGAACCAGGCTTTAGTTCATATGTGGCTTGCCCTGCCTACAAAACGCATCAGGGCACTTCTGACCCTGAGTCAGACCACACACGGGGCTGACACAGGGGCTGACACAGGGGCCCGCCGCCCGGAACCCTAAGGTTCTAAAACCGTCACTTACCTCATAGCGCGTCTTGATCACTGTGATGGGTGACATGCAGACTCCTGCGACAGAGCGTGAGCCCACGCCCAGGATGATGGATTCCAGGGCGCTCGGAGGATGGCCTCGAAAGAAATACTGCTTCAAAGAATACAGAGTGCCAAAGTAGATCCCCACACCAGGGACACACCTCACAATGGACTGCAGGGGAAGGCAGAGGGAGGGGCATGAAATCAGACTCAGAACTGCAAGATGCCTGGCAGGGGCGGGGGGTGGGTCCCTGAGACCCCAGGGTGATCCCCATGCAAGCTGCCTGTTTGAGGTGTGAAGGGGCTGACGGGACAGGCAGCAGCCAATAAGAGTGTGTCCAAGCAGCTACAGCTGTGGGTAAGTTAGTCCCCGTGACAAGCTCTAGCAATCAAGGGAACACGCCAGCCCTATGACCCTTCTGCTGACAGGGCAAAGCGTGCAGTAGTTAAGCGCCACTTCCCGAAGGCTGCTGCGGGTGGAGGATGGGAACCAGCGCTTGGCACTTCCATCAGCAAACCCCATCCTTGGGGGCCAGAAAAAGCTTTTGGACAAAGAAATAAAGGTGTAGTTGTCCCAGCCCACTTTCACAGTGCCAGCCAAGGTGAGCGCACTGACAGGCAGCACGATGCCAGCTTTGGAGCTGGTGTCATATTAGCAGTCACACTTCACAGACACTATGACAGTACAGGGACAGGGAGGGAGAGAGCAGCCCCCTCCCATCTGTTGGGAAGGGGTAGCCAAACAGTGGATAACACTGAGCCCTAGGCACACCAACCACCCTTTTGTCCACTGCGCAAGCACAGGTGATGGAGCCTCATTTACACACGAGGCACAGCCATAACTTCTGGGGAAGCGTGGCCTCCCTTGCCCTTACATCTTACTGTCCTGTGTTCCCCCTCCTCCTGTGATATCCGGAGCCAATGGAGCACCCGCGGGAGGACGGAGGCACAGGCAGTGGGTGAGGTCGGGCTCCTGCCGCCCTGCCCTGTCGCCGCCCTGCCCTGTCACCGGGCACCAGCCCCAATGATCCCACAGCTGGACTGAGGAGTAGAGGGTGCTGAGCCAGGACATCCTGACCGAGGAAAAGCTGGTTTATTTCTCTTCAACTCATCAGAGCTGCTGCAGATGCCACAGCCTTCGGGAGCTCTCGAGGACACTGTGATGCCACAATTTGGCCCCTTAATGTGCAATCTGAAACACTTCCGCAAATCTTGGTAATAGCTCTTTCTTCTCCATCTTCCGATGTGTGACTCACAAGGTCTCCCCTCCCGTGCCTGCTTGCTTTCGTTTTCACACAGGGTCTCATTCTGCAGCCTTGGCTGGCTGCTAATTCACAGAGATGCCCTGCCTCTGCTTCCTGAGTACTGGGGTTATGCCCAGCAGTTACCTAAGAAATAGGCTGGTTTTGTTGATGTACATAGATGTGTGTCTGTAGATGGGTCTGTGCATGTATGTGAGAGGATGCAGAGTGCAGAAAAGGACACTGGATCCCCTGGACCTGGAATTACAGATGATTGTGAGCTGGGTGCTGGGACGGAACCCAGGTTTAAACACACGGTTTGTTTGCTCAATGCAAAGTCCTAACCACGGAGCCATCCTCCAGCCCATTAGCATTTCCTGACGACCTTCAATCTGCTCTCACTTCCTGTCAGGCCGTCTCATACTCTGCTGTCCCTGCCCTGTTGTGGACACAGGTCCCACCGGACGGGCACCTCAGAGAAGAGCCTCACATCTGACCCCTTGCTCAGCTTCCTTTCTCCACAGTCATGTCAACATGCCAGAAACGTGGCCGCTGCTTCTGTCGCACATACAGTTTGCTCCTGCCCAAAGCTGCTTCCCAGTGCACGTGACTGTGTCCCTCACTTGCGCTGAGCCGCTTGCCTGTGCTCGCTCACTTCAGGAGATCTCTCGCTGCAGTCTTGGAGCAGACTCAGTGCCCTCTGGTGTAACACACTGCATCAACTGGACCACATTTTCTGCTCCCGTCTCCACGCACAGCTGTGGTGCACTGTCCGTCTTCCCCTAGCATTCCCCACCCCACGGCTGTGATCACCCTGGGCCCTTAACCTCTGCAATGTGAGCCAGGACAATAAAAATAGCCTGGGTTTCTTCTTCCTTCTCCACGACTTCGTGGACACAACGTTCCTTCCTGCCATGCAGTGCTTTTTCTTTTCCTCTTAAGATCTCCCACCTTCCACCCCGACCCCCCGAAAGCCCTGCCCAGCTTCCCTTTGGCACATTCCACTGTCAGCACCAATGTTCCTGTACACTGAGGACATCAGTAAGAACATATGGGGCCTGCACACAAACCTCAGGATTCCCAGCAGTGATCTGATAGCTAAGACAGCTACTGAGCGATTGATGGGCAGTGGTGAGCACAGCTCCGACGAATGAGTAATGCCTCACACTCAGAAGAGTGCACGATTGGAAGCCTATGGATTGCTCATCTACAGAACTTTCTAGTTACTGTTTTTGGAGCAGGGCTGACTGCAGGGAACTAAACCACAGACTATGGTTGGAAAGGGAAATGTCCCTGACAAACCATGCGTTTATAACCTTGTCACCAGTTGCTCACTGGAGCTGGGTTCTGCTTCCTGATTTGCCCAGATGTGACCAGCTATCGCATGTCCCTCCCACGAGGCTGTGGAGAGCTATCCCAGCTGCCACGCCTCTCTCACCAGGGACTCTGTCCCCACACAAGCACAGACACAAGCTCTCTCTTGAGCTATTCCTGTCAGGGATTTGATCACACACACACACACACACACACACACACACACACACACAGATGGGGAGGGGCTACACAGTCTAAGCAGCAGCTGGTGAGGTGGAGGAGAATGATCGTGGGGGGGAGGGGATGTAAGGGGGAATGCATAAGGACCCGGACCACGCAACTTACAGGAGACATCCCTTTCCAAAGGCCCAGAAAACTTTCTGTGCGAACCACCTTCAAGAGCACAGCCAACATCCCAACACGCCTGGACCTGACGGGGACAAAATGGACGGGGAGAGAAAACAAATCTGTTAGATCAGTTCTCATTCAGACTGTCTAAAACAAGCAGGGATCTGGACACTGCATCTTAGAATGAATTGCTTTAAAAAGTTAGTATGTATCGTGTGTGTGTGTGTGTGTGTGTGTGTGTGTGAGTGTGTACATACATGCACACACATGTGGAAGTCAGAGGCTAACTTGCAAGAGTCCATTCTCTCCTCCCAAGAGGGTCCTAGGATCAGCCTCAGGTTGACAGGGCTTGGCAGCAAGCACCTTCACCAATGACCCGTCTCACCAGACCTAGAATTATTCCTGATTGCCGTGTGTTCATGGTTTGGCACATGCATATTTAGCTTTCTGTTCACACCACAAGCAGTGGGTTACACTCTACTTTACATACACTATGTGTAGCTCCCACAGCACTGAGAGTCAAACACATTTAAAATGGGTGTTAATTCCAAAACACCCAGTTCCAGGCAGCACAGTACAATGTCACAAGTTAGCACAAGAAAAAGGCAAAGAAGGTCCTGCGGGAAGTTCAAAGGGGCCCCAATCAATCAAGAAAAATCAATTATAATGTGTATGAATATAAAACTATACTAACTTTTTTCTTTGGAAAACAGTATCCACAAAACACATGGCCCAGTACTCAGAAAGCTGAGGCAGGAGGATTGCCAGTTCGCAGTCAGCATGGAATACACAGCAAGACTCTTGTCTGAAGCAAACCCAACAACAAAAAGGAATTCCAGCCTGGCTGTGTTTCTCTAACACAATGACGCCCGAGTTCACTTGTGAGGCTAGTCCCATGTCTGAGAAGCTAACCCTGGCTCCTCCATGATGCAGGGCAGCGGCCTACCGGGGGTCTGAGGGCTGCAGGGTCTGCAGGCGTGTCTTGAGGAGATCCAGAGGCTGGAAGAGGAGGGTGGAGCAGGTGCCACTGATGGAGCCGCAGAGGAATGCCTTGATCACAGGGTGTACCTGCAGACAAGAGGGCATGGCTTCAGCGGGCCTACCCACCAAGCCCAGCTCCTTCCCACACCTGCACCTGCCACAAACAACCCCGTTCTAGCCTACTCCTAGCCAAGGCTCTCTGCTTCCTGATTTGCTGGGCTGTGACCTCTTGCCTCATGCCCCTCCCACGAGGCTGGTGAAGGCTACAATTACCATCCCCTTCCCACCAGGATGGGAAAGTAAAATCCTCAGCCACACTACAGTGTGCACAGCAAAAGGGCCTCTCTGTTCTCACTATTAACTGCTATAATGCTGGTTCCGAGACAACATGTCCATTGTCACAGCACACTTCCCTATCTGTCCTGACTGATCCTGACTTTATCCTAAGTGTAGTTTTAGCTGTTGGCTCCCCCTAGGCTACCTGGTTGTAGGATCTATAGATATTTGTAAGAACGAGTCAAACCCCATGATAGCATAAGCTTGGCTATTCTGTAGCTTCCTATATCCATTAATTTCTGAGCTTAGAGGTCGGCCTCTCAAGCCAGGTGGTGTGGCGCACACCTTTGCTCCCAGCACCTGGAAGGTGAGGCTGGTGGATCTCTGAGTTGGAGGCCAGCCTGGTCTACAGAGTGAGCTCCAGGACAGCCAGGGCTACACAGAGAAACTCTGGCTTGGAAAAGAAAAGAAGAGGAAAGGAAAGGAAAAAACAGCAAAAATAAAGACAAACAAAAAGACCCTCAGCCTTTCTTTGGGACCCAGCTTCCACTGCAGAGCGGTCTCTTGCGGTCTCTTCGGGTATACGGCCCTTCCCCCGGCCCCTGCACTGCCAGCCACATGCTGGCTTATCTTCTGGCTCCACACAGGAGGGCAGTACTCTTTGAGATGCTCAAGTGTCTCCCGCCGGCACACCCCAGGAGCGCCAGCTCAGGGCACTGGGCTTCCAGGGCAAGGCCCCCTTTCTAAATGCAGCAGAGTCAACAATGGGCAGACAGCAAAACTCTCTCTCCTCCAAACAAGACACTCGGCAGAGCCTCTGGAGACTTCTCTTCCCCTCGTCTCTGTAACCCCACCAGGTCATAAATAATATATCACCACAGGCCTGGCCATAAACTACTTTCTAAAATAACTGACACATTGTAGCCCTAATGGATGACTGAAGTCTCTGTTGTATCAAATTACCAGGAACACAAATGCTGGTTATCTTTAGTACCCATTTCAGAGAGAACAGAGCCCCCCCCCCCCAACTTCCAATACACCTGGGGTTGGTTTCGAGACCACTGGGACTAGGTAAGTACTGAGAGTTAAACACTGGACGGGACCTGCCCTGGGGTGGCAGCCGGGGCAGCCGGGCTCTCAGAGGACAGCAGGCTAAACCATGCAGCGTGTGTACTGGAGCACATCTGGACCGGCCGCCAATGCTCTCTCTCCCCAGAGATGCCAACTCCTCAGCCTCACCTGAGCCCCTGCAGTGTCGGGGCGGTCCACCTGCTCACACAGTAGGTCCCTCTTCCTTGGCCATCTCTTCTCAGCCTGGAAACCGGCTCTGGGGCCTCTGTTCCCAGCGCCACACTGCGCCTCCTCCATTCCCTCTGTGCCGGTCACTCCTCATGCCTCAGGCTCGCCATCTAGTCAGAACCCTTCCAGTAAGACTTCTGCACACCCCAGGCCCCTCTTCCATCCTTGCCCTTAAGGGACTCCAATTCTTAAGTGCATTCGCTATCAGTGACCACCTGTCTCAGTATGGGTTTCTTCCACCGCCCCGCCCCGCCCCGCCCCGCCCGTTGCAGGTCTCTGTCCCCTCTGCTGGTACCTCAGTGCTATTACACCTCTTAGCTCTCTCACAGCAGCCTCGCCCACCACCTGTCTTCCTCTCTGTCATCCCAGGGACGCGGTCTCAAACTCGACAGGTCAGAACTGGAAACAGGGGCAGCAGTCCCCCACCTGCCTCCTCTCCTCCCCAGTCCCAGGAGGCTTGCTCGGCCTGCTGCTCCCGATGGCTGGCCCAGCAGTCTGCCCTACCCGTCCCTTTGACCTAAAGGACAGAGAGATTCTCTAAAGAACGAGTTCACTGGGGATCAAGCAGGGGGAATACAAACGCGGTGTGTGTGTGCCAGGAGAAATCACACACACACACACACTCTCTGGAGCCCTCTCTCCTTCCAGCCCCAGCAATGACCCCCACCCTCTGGTTCCCGTTTTGCTCTTGTTGCGCTGGCCACTGCTCACTGCAGTTTACCCACCCTGGTCTGGGCCTCTCCACACTCGCTCACTCTTGTCCTCACAGCACAGTGACTGAGCACATCAGTGGCTCAACAAATACTGAATCAACAAAAAGAGTCAACAGCTTTTTTTGGTTGCATGTTTTTTCTGTTTTTGTTTTTCCAGACAGAGTTTCCCTGTGTAGCTGGAACTTGATCTGTAGACTAGGCTGGCCTTGAACTCAGAGATCTACCTGCCTCCACCTCCTAAAATTAATGTTAATTCTAATAGATAAACCAACCAACCAAAAAAACAAAACTCCTGTGAGTGATTAGTTTCTGTGGAGCTGTGGTTGTGCTTGTTCTGAGACCGGGTGTCACTATCACACAGCTCCACCTGCCTCTATAGGAACCTCTTCCAGGTCCTGGGTTTAATGTATTTGTTATAGTGGAGACTGAGATGCCTTACCCCAGGGCCACACTTCCAATTTTAAGACAGATTCAACTTATTTTAATAGTTCAACGTTATTAAAGGAAGGTGACTATTCCAATCTTCTACGTGTGAGAACAGGCAAAAACAATCAGAAGGGGCTGTCGATCAGTCAAAACGGGTAGTGTTCTTCCAGAGGACCAGGGTTCCCAGCACCCCTATGGGAAGGGGCGCTCAAATCACCTTAACTCCAGCTCTAGGGGACCCCAACCCCCTGTGGGTCTCCGCGGGCACCTGCACCCGTGCACACACCGCACCACACGCACACAAGCAAACCGAAACTAAAAGCATAATCAGCAAACAGGGCTACACACAAACAGCCAATTAGTTCCACAAAAAATGTCTACCACCACCACCACCCCAACAAAACCAAAACCAGCAAAATCCCTAACGTCCAGTACACAACAGAAGGGGAAACACGGCGAGAACAGGTATGAAGTTCTGAAAGACATGATCCCGGAGCCACACTGCTCAAAATCTTCAAAGATGTCCAAAGGGCCACACACAGGGGAGCACACGCCATCAGCATCGGCACTCTGGAGACAGAGCCAGGCCGGCCTCTCCGAGTTCGAGGCCAGCCTGGTCTACACAGCGAGTTCCAAAATCAGATAAAATCCCCAAAATCGGAGAAAAATTCGACAAGACCTTCCAAAAGGAGTGCGTCCTCCTCCCGCGAAGGAGCACGGCCGCCCAGGCCCGCCCCGCCTCCCGGCGCACCCCCGCCTGCGCCTATGGCCGGCGAGGACACGCCCAGACCGCGGGAGGCCCCGCCCCGCCCAGCCCCGCCCCCGGCTCCGCCAATGGCAGCCCGGCGCCCGGCCGCGCAGCCAATCTGACGGAGGGGGCGTGGCCTCGGCGAGCCGTGGTGGCTGCCGAGGCAGCAGCGCACGGGGAAGCCGGGCAGCGAAGGCGGCTGCAGCGGGCGGCCCGGGCCGGCCCGACGCGCTCGTATCCGTCGCCGCGAGGGTTCTAGAACTGGAATGTTCTAGAAGCACAAGGCAGTTCCCGCCCCGGTCCCCCACGAGCTCACCATGAGCGTCTCCACCGTGTCCTCCACGTCCTGCGGCGGCAGCAGCGCAGAGCGCGCCTTCTCGATCACGGGGGTCGCCAGCCCGGCCCCGGCCACCGCGAGGCTCGGCGGCTCCGCGCTCACGCCCATCCCTCCCCGCCAGTCAGTCCGCCCGCCGCCGGCCTCAGCACCCGAGGCGAGCGGGTCTGTGTTTCCGGGGGAGGAGAAAGTAGAAGGAACCACTTCCGGGGGAGGAGAAAGTAGGAGACTCCACTTCCGCTTCCGTGACGTAGCTCACCCGGCGCTGAGTAGCGTTCTTTTCGCCACCTGCTGGCTACGCGCAGAACTGCAGGCCACCCGGTTGTGCCCTCCTGCTTGGGCTTTTGGTTTTCGTGACTAAAGCGCTTTTTTGAAACGTGTGACTCGCTGGGTTTTCATTTTATCTCATTTTAATTACATTATATTTAAGAACTGAAGCAGGTTGGGATGTCTTTTAGACACGGCTTTTAAAAAATAGATTTCACATTTCTCTATTTATTTATCTATTTTGTTGTTGTCGTTCGAGACAGGGTTTCTCTTGTGTAGCCCTGGCTGTCCTGGATCTCACTCTGTAGACCAGGCTGGCCTTGAACTCACAGAGATCCTCCTGCCTCTGCCTCCCAAGTGTTGGTATTAAAGGAATGTGTATAGGATTAAAGGAATTTCATAAATGCATGCAATGTGTCTGATCAAATCCAGCCCCCATCCCCTCCCCTCCAGTTCCTTCCTCATCACCCTTCCACATTTCTCTTTCAACACTGATACTGGAAATGGGAAATGACATCCACTGTATGCCAGTGCATACCTGCTATCTAAGATTCGTAAGATAAAATGTATCATTACTTTGTTACTCAGTTTTGGTGTTAGAGATAGAACCCAAGGCCTCAGGCTTGCAGCAAGCACCGAACCATTGAACTGCACCTGGTTCCGTTTATCATCCATTTATCTGAGAAGGATGTTGCTATGCGCCCCTAGACGGCCTGGAACTCACTACGTATATGAGGCTGATCTCACACTCATAGAAATCCACTTGCCTCTGCCTCCTTAGTACTGGAATTAAAGATACGTGCCACCATGCCTGGCTCAATAACAATTTTTTGTAGTACACGTTGAGTTGTTGCCTTAACTATATTGGAATCAATGGATTTTATTATTGAAGTCAATTTCACTTGTTTCTGTTAAATTTTTTAAAATTATGTGTATTAGTAATTTACCTGCATGGACGTATGTATGAACACTGCAAGTGTTACAGCTCTGGAGAGAAAGGTATCCTGACTTGTCGGGAAGTCGGGCTCTACCTGAAGCTGGGGGCGGTCTCTTCACGGGAGGGATGTGACAATCCTCTCTTCTCAGAGACGTTATAGCTGAGCTCTTTTCTGCTCCCAAGGGAGTTTCCCAGGAGAGGTTCGGCTCCACACCAGAGAGAGAGATCTTCACCCACATCTCTCTCAAGAAAAGCATTTATTTGGGAAGGACGAATCCGGGAGACTGGCTGCTTCTGCCAGGGTGGGAAAGGACACCCAACAGCTGAACAGGCGACAAGTGCTGTAACCATTGAGCCGTCTCTCAAGCCTCCTCTTTATGCTTTTTAAAAACATGACTACTAGACCATTTAAAATACCACATTGGTTTCCACTATGTTTCTGTTGGAGTTACTAGTCCAGATATCTAAAATTATATCACTGCACATTTTGGCTTCCTACTTGCCATGTGTCTGTGTGGCTGACCTGTCGAAGAGACCTTGATGCCCTTGGTGAAAACGCATGCACATAGCATCAGGGCCTGTCCATCCAGAGAGTAAAATCTGAACTTATAAATATGTGATGTCAGAGCCCAGCTGATGCTCAGCCCCAGCCTGCTGCAGCAGCCCTTCCCCTCACGGGTAACACGGGGTTCCACCGAGACCCTGTTTGTGAGTCTCTATCAGACTTCCAGGTGTCATGGTATCTCACCTGGGGAAGTGAGTTTGCGTCAAAGCCACACGTGTAGCTGCCAACCCCTTACCAACATCTTACCTGGAAATCAGTCATCCGAAAGGAGGGAACCGCCATTGGGGAAGTGCCTCCGTAAGATCCAGCTGTAGGGCATTTTCTTAATGAGTGACTGATGGAGGAGGTACTATTCCCGGGCTGGTGCTCCTGGGCTCTGTAAGAAAGGAGGCTGAGCAAGCCATGGGGAGCAAGCCAGTGAGCAGCTCCCCACCATAGCCTCTGCATCAGCTCCTGCCTCCAGGATCCCGCCCCGCCCCGTGTGAATTCCTGTCCTGACCTCCTTCAGTGATATGGAAGTGTAAGTCAAATAACCCTTTCCTCCCCGACTTGCTTCTTGGTCATGGTGCTTCATCGCAGCAACAGAAACCCTAAGACAGCTGTCAACTGCACCGCCCCCCCATCCTCAGAAAGGTTTAAGAAGAATCTGTGCCCGCCCTTCCACTATGTGGGCCCAGATTCCTCCCTTGAGAGCCACTGCCATGATGTCTGTCTCTGGTTCTGGGGCCTGAACTCTCCATTGATCCCCACTCAGTCTGTCTGTCCATGGCATTAGTAACTCTCCTAATAAACCGCTCAGTCCCAACAACCCATTTCCACGTCCTCTGAACCCACATCAGAGGCCCCGTGGCATCTCCAGTTCTGTTTTTCGAGTCTTATTATTTCTTCAGTGTATGCATATGCACCTTCATGAGTTTGTGCGTGTCACACACATTGAATTCCTTGCAGCTGGAGGAGTTACAGGAGACTGTGAGCCCACAGGTGGGCGCTGGGAATCGAACCTGGGTCCTTTGCAAAAGTGGTAAGCACTCTTATCTGCTGAGCCACCTCCCAGCCCCAGCTTGCCATGGTTCTTAACAGAATTTCAAGGGGCCTGGGCTCTGGGGTGTGGCAATGAACAAAACAGATGTGGCTCATATCCAACAGGCAGGCACTGCTGGACGTGTTTGCTTTGCTTGTTCATGTGTCTGCAATCCATAGTCCAAATGTGAGCATCCTCCACACATTTCTTAGGGCACATGTTCCCATGAGCCATCCTTGAGTCTCTAGGACAGCCCTTCAGCCTTCCCTCAACAGAACATTTTCTTTTCTTTTTAAGATTTATTACGTATACAGTGTTCTGCCTTCAGGCCAGAAGAGAGCGCCAGATCTTATTTATTTATTATAGATGGTTGTGAGCCACCATGTGGTTGCTGGGAATTGAACTCAGGACCTCTGTGAGAGCAGCCAGTGCTCTTAACCTCTGAGCCACTTCTCCAGACATGTTCTTGACATCCTGGAACCACCTTTGCCCTTCCCGTTGATTGAGACTATGGAGACATGTAGACTCTAAAGAGTTACAGCTTCCACAGGGATCCCGTTGGGGAAGGGAAAGGCTGGACCCGCATGACAGCCAGAGGAGAGACTCGAACTTGTCCCCAACAAGAGACTGCACATAACTTTCGTGACTTATCAGAGCTCCTTGCAGGAGAGAGGGAGCCCAGATGGTGATGATGGGCGGGGCCACACCCTGACCGGGACTCCTTAGCTCTGCATACCACCTGCCATCTATTTAAACCCAGGCCTCGGGTCAGACCCTGAAGATGGACTTGGGGGTCCCTGGACCCCTTGATTTGCTCCTTTTCCCAATGTGGCCCCATTGAATAAACCTCGGCATTTCACTGTGACTTTTCTCAGTTTTTATGTGTGTGGAGTGTGTGGAGTCTGTGCTCAGGCATTGGATCCCCTAGAGCTGGAGTTACAGGCAGTTATGAGCTGCCAGACATGGGTACTGGGGGGCCGAACTCAGGCCCTCTTGCAAGAGCAGCTGGTGCTCTTAGCCTCCGAACCGTCTCTCCAGCTCCATGACTTGTCTTGTTTAATTGGCATGTTTGGGAGGTGTGGCTGAACGTAGCTTTCTGGCACTCCAGGAATGAATGACATGGCATGTGGGCACACAGATACACCCTGAGGGAAATGACCTCCACTCTCCTTTGCAAGCTAGGCAGCTGTGACACTACCAGTCGATGGACAGCAGGTGTCGCTGGTAAATTAAATGCAAGTCTTTGTACAGAAGTGCTCTGGATGGGTTTATTAAGGAATTATATCAAACCTTCAAAGAGAAAGTAATGCCTTTTATTTTATTTTATTTTTTTACATAAACCATTTCAGAAAAATAGATCTTAAAGGGAATATTTCTCAATACATTTTAAGAAAGCAATCCTGGCCCAGATCACTATGAGTGAGGAAAATTACAAAGCGTTGTCTCTCACGAACACAGGCACAAAGAAATCCCAAAACTGAGAGATCACTTTTCTCAAGGGAGCAGAGCCCGTGCGCACGCTCCTACAAGATGTAGTCCAGGGTAGAGGAGTGAGAAGATCGTTGATTGGAGGACAGCTGCCTTTCCCATCCCCCCAGCGGCACTTGCCTCCCTATGTAGAGGAAGATGTGGCTGCAGCTTTTGTGAAACACGCTTGCCAGGTTTTTCTTGAACTTCTCCCCTATGAATGCGTAGATGACAGGATTCACACAGCAGTGTGTGAAAGAGATGACTTCTGTGACATGGGTGGCGAGCGCCAGCCTCTGGCTCATGGCGCATCCATCCAAGACGTGCAAGTCATGCAGGGACGTGAGGAACAGCACCACGTTGAACGGGACCCAGAAGAGTAAAGTTGCGATGACCACAATGAGCACCAGCTTGACAGCCCTGGTCCGGTTGTGGTTCTGGCAGGCCCGCAGCTGGTGCAGGATTCTGACGTAGCAGAACAGGAGGACCGCAAAGGGGAGAAACAGCCCCAAGATGTTGACTTCAAAGTGAACAGAGAGCTTCCACCTCAAAGACTGGTTGTCGTAAAATGGGAAGCACTGTAGAACGCCATCGTCAGAGGCCACTTGGTAGAACACCAGCAACGGAATGGTGGCTGCAATGGCAATCAGCCACACCAGCAGGCTCAGGGCCATGCCCACTCTGGCCGTCCTCACCTTGATGGCGTACACAGCGTGGACGATAGCCAGGTACCTGTCCACGCTCATGAGAGTAATGAAGAACATACTACTGAAAAAGCCGATGTAATAAAAGCCGGAGACCACTTTACACATGACAGCCCCAAACACCCACTGGTCCAGCAGGTAGTGAGTCTGGAAGGGGACGGAGAAGACAAAAAGCAGGTCAGACACGGCCAGGTTCAG